CAGCTGAAATTATATTTCTAAGGTTTAATAGACTTTCTTTTCCACAGTTAAAAAGAATGTGAAGAGAGAAAGAAAAACTGTACAAATCGAAGGGAAATGCTGGTGTTAAACGAATTAACTGCCAGACTAAGTCTGAGATAAAACGCTTAAACTTAATGTATAACCAGAAGATTGTGTCATGTAAAAGCCTTTCTAGTATTTAGAGACTTTATAATGATCTTACTGGCAAGGGAAAACTCAGAAATGAAACCTGCGAAAACGTCTGGGCATTAAACGAGTCATTCATAAGTAAACCTCCCAATGTTATCTTATCTAGTTCTTCATGTGCTGATATTTTATGCCATCCACTTACAAACATTTTTGATATCTTTTACCAGCCGGCTGGAATAAAATTTAAATAGTTCCGGTACCTAAGTCCATATCTTCTTTGCAATAACCTCACCAGTCATAAAAACAATGGAGAGCTGTTGCTTCGTGTGCTTGAACCTCCTTCGGAGCCCTCCAGAGATGTGAATCCATTTGCCTACAAACACAGAAGGAGTACCGTAGATTCTACAGTTGCTTTACATCATAATATCATCGCCAGTCTAGACAAAGGTGCTAAGTATGTTAGATCTGCCTTCTTAAGTCATACTTCTCATATTGACTCCTGGATTGCAAACTAAGTTGATTCTTATTTTTCTGAGAGAAGACAGTGCACTCTTTACAGAGGGGAGTGATTTACTCAGGGGAGCTGCTGGCCCTCAAAGTGCTGCTTCTTCTCACTTACTCTTCTCTTTTTTTTCTCGACTTACTAACCCCAAGTAAACTACCTCTGTTCAGTATGCATATGACTTAACAGTATCCGTGACAACCATCGCCTCTTCAGATTGTTCCCAGTTTAATAACTTCTTGGCTGAAATTGATCACTAGTCTTGCTTAAATGGTCTCTCACTCAATCCCTCCAAATGTCAGATCATTCATTTCAGCTGAAGTCGTGAACAAGACCTTTGTAAACTGCTTCAGTTCCATAACTCTTGTCTTATGGATGGCTCTGTTGTAGAGAATGTAACAGGCGTGATCCATCGTGGCTTATGCTTTTCTTCTAACCTTTCTTGTTCCCTTCATATCTTACTGACTTCTAGGAGAAGCTTTCGTTTGACGTTTTATATCAGGAAACTCAGACTGTCTGGCATAACTCAGCCTCTACTCTTACGTTTCATTAATTCCTATTTTCTGCCTATACTCAGTTATTGATCCCTCTTATTTTTTCCTGGATTCCAGAAAAAAGACTATGTTATATTGCGTGCAATTTTGAAGGTTGTTAATGGAGCAAGTGGGACACCACTAACCGTGCTGACTACTGGCTAAAAGTATTTTACCAGATGACAAGCATCCTCTGCATCTGCAGACATCTACAGACATATTAAACTCTATGTACTCACAGCTACATACAAACATTCAACCATACGTTATTTAGTTTGTATACTGTGTGAAGAAGATCATGTTTGACACAGTCTTATCAACCAACTTTGGAATAGCGAACAATTACCATATCCCTGAAATCATTTAACATTCCAGCAATCATGTTGTTCTTCATTATGCATTGTTAAACAGCACCATTTTTAATACATATTTGAAAAGTGTTGTAAAAAGGGTAAACTGATGAAGTGTAACATGCTGAGAATTCTGTACTGTAAACATAACTATAGTTCGAAATAAAGCAAACATATATTGTTATCATTTCTACGTATTTTGTTAGTATTACGACCCCTTTATTACTTGACACTTCACTAGAACTTGGAACAACTAACTACGGGTCTATGACTAACGCAGGTTTAGATAAGCACATTCAACTGTGCCACCAATAAACTATTCTTTGGGCAACCTTATACTATCTGTAGTAACCATGATGCAATAAGAGTACCAATTATCATATTTCAAAATAAAGTCAGTAAAAATCGAGTTGTTAACTATTGTATATAATTTAGAAACTGTTCAAGATTTTCATCGGGTTTGTTTTACTGAAAGTTGAAAAAACCAAAAAACTATGGAATTATGCTTCCATTTGACTTCTCACTTTCGGTGCTTAATTCTATCGTTGTGCATGTTATTCTATGGAATATATATATATATATATATATATATATATATATATATATATATATATATGCAGTACATTAATTAGCCAGTCAGAATGGTGAAAATTTAAAAGTAGCTTTTTGTTGAAAGTGAACTTATTGTTTTATAATTTACGGATAGTATTTCAAAAACGTCACAATCATACTATCCTATCAAGACTGAACATTCATTTCAGATTGTTTGTTTACAGATTTTAGCTCCAATCTACCTCAACTTTGTTCAGTTTCCGACCAATTAACCTAACGTATGTAGAACTTCGAGAGCATTACAAGCTCTTATGAATCAACCATTATAAGTGAGCAATGACATGCACATTTAATAACAAATTACATAACATGCGTATAGTAGCATATAAAAAAGTGCAGAAGATCACCGAATCATTATGCTCCACTCAAGCACAGAGAAAGAAAGAATAAACAAGAGGTAGAGAAAAGAAATAAATGAAGTTTATTGAAATGTTCAGAGTTCCAAAAACGATAAGTCCTGAACCCATTTTTATCTGCGTGGTAGATTTATCCTGGACTTGTGTCATATGATTCCATATTTAACAGCTTGCTTTATGTAACGTTTTTGTTGCGCTTATTTTTCTCACCCAATAGGGATTATCAATTCTATCTGCTGTGGATGATATACAAGTTCTACTGGATGATCATATTATCAAAGCTCAAACAATGCGTAATTCACCATATATAAAACCATTTGAAGAAGAAATGATAGCATGGGAGGCGAAATTAATTTCAATGAATGATATATTAGATGTGTGGCTCAAAGTAAGTTCATAGATGATACAATTCCGTATATGGATTAACAACTTATGAATTCAAATTGAAATTATAATGCATTGATATTCAAGATAGCTTTGTAAACAGCAGAAAGATATTTGCTAGTTTACGCTGCTTGTGATTTCAAGGAAATTTCCACACATTGTTTTATTAATAAAAGGTGGACAGACAGTGTTAGTTTCTTTCTCATTCTACCCCTAAGAAAGTTAAACGAAGGTTTAAGGTTGCCAGTGTATTCCTAAACTTCGCTGTTGTTTGATTTGACTGCAGAACAATCAGTGCTAAATAAGATGTATTTAGAAAATTAGTTAAATTAAAGTGATGAGATGAGAGTCTTACTTGCATGTTCTGAATATTTTACAGACAACGCTTCCAACCCAACATCTCTCAAGGGTCATAATTTTTCGAGACTGCCTATACGCTTCGCTTATGGATATCGATGATATCGACGGCTTTTTTCTCACTATTTCGAAAATATCACCCGGCCACATCGCATCATTCAATCATATCTAATTTCTTCTGAAATCACTTTGACGTATTTTTTTAAAAATCACACCCAAGAATAGATTCCACAATCTAAACCACGATTCGTAATTGTTTGCGCTCATTCCACCACGACCAAACTCCAGTATGTGTGACATTTAGAGAAAAACGTCTCGTTTTTCTAGTTCAGTAAAATCAAGAGGATACCTTTAGGTTGCTTGAGATAATGATTCTTACACATATTTCAGTTTATCTCGATGACAGTAAAGTGTAACTGTCACTACATAACTTGATCCCCAACTAAAAGTAAGTAACATCTAAGTACTTCAATCGTTTAGCAGTAGTACTTATGAAAAATAACGAAAATTCTAAGAGAAGCTTCATGAAAGTTGAAGCATGGATCAATTAATCAGTAACTACATCAATGGAATAATAGGGAAATTGAAATATATACTTATTCAAACGCCGATTACTTATATTTAGTTTGTTCATTAGCTTGAGGGTATTTAAAGCATCAGTCTGAGTCCTAATTTAATAGTTAGCCGATAAGAAAACACACTGTAATATGCATTGAATTATAATACAGCAGTTTTTCAGACATTTTAAGTAGCCATAGAACAGCGGTTTTGCGACGAACATCACTCACTTTGTCATAAGCTTGCATCGAAAATGTCATAAGACTGTTTTTTAAGCGGGGGGGGGAAACTGATTCTTCTCTCTGTCAACGTTTTATCAAGTATTTGCGCCAGCTAAAAAGCATTTATTCACGCGCTTATTCTGTTATAATTTTGATATACATATACACGCATATCCATCTTCCCTAACCATTACTCTCCATCTCACCAGCTCTCATTTACAGTAAAATATAGTTCCTAGTGATTTTTTTATGAAGTTTGTCAAATGCTATAAATATGTGCTTTGCATGAATCTACTTCTATGCTAGACAATAAGTTTTTAATAATAATGACGAAAATAATAATCATAAAGCAAAAGTGGTAATTTTGTATATAGGTGCAAGCGACATGGTTATATTTGGAACCAATATTTTCATCTGAAGACATTTTAGCACAAATGCCAGAAGAAGGTCGTAAATTTGGTGTTGTTGATGTATTATGGCGTGAAATAATGACCGAAGCAGTTGCAAATCCAAGTTGTTTAGTAGCCACCGATCAAAGAGATATGTTGAGACGTTTAACTGATGGGCTTTTATTACTCGAAGAAATACAAAAAGGATTAAATGATTATTTGGAAAAGAAAAGATTATATTTCCCTCGGTTAGTTTGCTGTGTTTTATGTTCATTTTTAGGATTTCATTATTTATTAAGCAGTTTACCAGCAAAAACAGTTACCTAATAAAATCATTGAAATTAAAGGCGTTAATTATTTTAGGAAATTTGATTTCATGATTCAAAGTATTGAATTTGAATCCATTGGATAAACATTGATCAGTTCTCAGTAATGAAAAGGATCATGAAACCAATTAGATTTTCAAAAAGAACTAAAGAGAATAATAATTTCTTGCTCACAAATAGTTTTTTAGACGAAATCTATACAAATTTGATTGGAGTTATTATTCTTTATCTGGAGGTAATCATCTCAGAGGCCATCAAAAATTGTTAAACTAATATATATTGACTATTCAACACCGATGTGGTAGCGTTCTTCAGATGACCCTGAAACTCCTTGGTCCGATTTCCTATGAGAGAAGAAGTCATAAAAAAGGATAAAAAAACCGCCCAGCACTTCCTGATTTTCAGTCAATACTTTAGCGTTCAAATCTTTTCCCGATCGCGGCTTTCTATAAAACTCATTAAAGAAACCTGTGGCAACTGAAGCTTCTCTGGATTATCTAGGCAGTGACACAAAGTTAGTGGACTGTGATTCCATTTTAGTCTGTAGCATTTGCTGGATAACGTTATCCAGTAAATGCTATTGCTTCACTGCGTGATATTTCTAATGAACAGACTAAAATGGGATTACAATCGACCACAGTGCCTATGTTTTACTCTTATATTAGTGGACTATGGTTAGTTTATGACAAAAATCGTTTGAGAAACCAAATAGGGTAGATATCAGCATGAAACCAGCTGCGGACTAAGCAAAAGACCACATAATTGATCACTGGACACAAAATTTCGACCCTTAGTTGATCGAATAAACTGAGTTCGTACTGTTATAGTCTGCTTAGTCGTTAAAAGAGGAAGCCAGAATACGAGTTTCGTCCCATTTGGACTTGTCTGCTGGCTGTGCCTGCACCCAGGGAGTGATGTTATTCCCACTGACACTCGAACCTAGTACCTGTCGCTTCAAATGCCAGTGTTATCCACTATTGATTTGTGCAGACTGGAAAAATGAGTTATTTACCATAGTACAATTCTACAACCATGAACAGATTTATGTAATAAGCTAAGAACCATACTTATTTTCAAGTTGGTATTCATCGTAGACTGACATCAGTTGGAGGAACAATAGAAATCTTGGAGCACTGGACAGCCGTTTTTTCCTAGTATGCTACTATTCGGCAGTGGCTCAACAGGAACATGCTGACCACGGAACCTGAATTTCGCGGGTTTGATCCTTGGTTGGGTCATGGGTGCGCGCACCTCAAGAGTCCCATACTAAGACGAAACAGCTATCCAGTGCTCCCAGGTTTCTATTGTTCCTCCAACTGATGTCAGTCCATGATGAACACCAACTTGAAATATCTCTGAATTCCCACAAACCCCTAAAATTCATACTTATTTTGCCTGAGCTTCGGTAAGTGAAGTGTAGAATTCGAACACATAGTTTACTAATTTATGGTTTATATTCATTTGGAGAACTATTGTAAACCTGGGAGCACTAGACAGCTCTTTCGTACCAGCATGAGACCACTCAGCAACGCGAACCAACGACCCTGTCAGGTAATGAACTCAGCACCTTCAGGTTCCATGGCCACCAGGTTGCTATTTCGTGAACTGAAAGAAGCAGAAAATGTGAATTATTGGATTTCTCCCCAGCCGTTCGATGGCGATGTGCTGGCAACAGAACCTGAAGGTCCTGGGTTTGCTCCTTGCAAGAAGGATCATTGATGCATACTGCTGCGGAATATCATACTAGGATGAAACAGCTGTTCAGTACTCCCAGGTTTCCTATGATTCTCCATCTGATGTCAGTCCACGATGAATGCCAATCTGAAATAAATAAATTTCGATAAATCTCCAAGCTGAATATGCCTTTTTATTTGAAAGTAGAGTCTCTAATGTAATGAACCTTGGGTTTGTTCTGGTAATTGAAGTTAGACTGACAATATGATAACACTTACAGATCTTCAAATTAGTTACTTGTCTTCTAAACATTACTCAATCCAGTGTTTTTTGCTGATAAATTAGTTGTCTATGCTTAAATTCCAAACATTGGACCATTACATTTTTTTTAATTTCATGTGTCACTGTTAGCTTCTTTTTCTTATCGAATGATGAACTGTTGGAAATCTTATCAGAAACGAAAGATCCCCAAAGAGTTCAACCGCATTTGAAAAAATGCTTTGAAGGTAAGTTGTATATTTTGCTAAAGGTATCTCAGAGAACTTTTTATTATGTGCTGATACCAATTAGTGGACCATTGAAAAACTCTGAGCACTGGACACTGGATCTCCAAAGTTCCAATGGGAAGTAACGGCCTGTAGGGTAGATCAAGTCAAGATTGAAGACGGATGCTTGTGTGTGACACTCGATGACAGTAGCATCATTAGACGAAGTGATACAAGTTGGAAGAAGTTGATCACTGAATTCTAACCCAGTGACTGAATGTTAAACCTTATGGTCCTGCATCTGATGTTGTAATGGAGTTGCAGGTACATACTATAGTGTAGTCTAAATAGTGGGTGATAAAGCATTCCAGAAGTCCATGGTTCTCAATAGTTTCTCAGCGGTTGTCAACTGACGGTGAAGATGGTTTAAATTAACCAACTTTCCACAAACCATCTCACTGATTACTATTTACAGACATACTTGTTATTCTCCGTTGTTTTGTTGGGTTGAATTGTTCGACCTTCGTTCTTCTGCTAGCCATAACCAACTAAATTATCATCTTACTGATTGATAATATCTATGTATTTTTACCACTGATGCTTTTTTCACCCAGATATGCATGTTCCATTTATAAATTCCGACGCAGCGAAAATCAGCAAAAGCAGAATAATATGAGTTCATTTATTCATTGGAAATCTTCCAGATATGTATACCTCATCATCATGATTAAACGTCAAAAAATGCCATTATTGTACGATAAGAACCGGAGCTAGTTAAATAACAAGTGAAGTAACAGTAAGGAATAAAGAGCAACTTTTACTTGATATCCAGAGTTTTTTCTCAGGTGGCATCAGTAACTGAACACAAGCCATTCTTTTGTTTACTCGGATGTCGTTCTTTTTCGATACATCTGTTCTTTGCACACTGGTATGGAGTGTGACAACTTGAAATAAAACAGTTCTGTGCCTATGTATACAATGACTTATCTGTTTGTCTGTTTCCTCTGTCACCTGTGACTTTTCTGTTTCATATTCTTGATGAAGGAGAATACGATAAACAGTACACATACATGATATAAAAAGATAAATGAAAAGTCACGCTGGATTTTTTTAAATACACTGATTACAGAAACAATACTGAATAAAGTGTAAGTATATGTTTTTGACCCATCTGTTCATTGTCCATATTTTAAATCCCGTCCTTTCCCCGAGGAAATTTGAACGAAATTACTAGGCTTAAAGTTGGAATTTATTACTAAATCAAGCTTGGCATAAAATCTTAATATTTTGCTGAAGAATCTGCGGCTTACGCATTCAAATTTTCAGAAAAAACCTTGCTTTGATTTTGCTGACAAGCTATGACTACATTACACCTTATTTTCATAGAGATTGAATCATACGGGGCGTTTGAGTCTTTTTCTCAGCCATGTGTAACAACTATGGTCTGGAGATTTATAAAAAGTTGAAATTATTTTATTTCCAACAAGCTGATATATACAAATATAACCTATATTGTAAAGTCAACTGTTTACTCGATGGTCAATATTTTTTAGCTATTCTATAAAGTTTTAACCACAGTTTCCAGAAATACAGAGAAATTCGACACAATAAATTCATGAAATATGAATCTCAGCATGAAGGGGTGTGAATTTATTATTCTTTGTTGTAGCCCTTAATGTGTTAGGTAGTAGGTAATCAGTTGGTGAACTCCTTAGGTGACGATGTCGTCCTAAATCAGTCAAAATGAAATAAGAGTACACAATGTATAACTGTCGAAACTCCCAATACCTATTCCCTTTCAATCACGTTCTTAATCTTATTTATATTATAATAACTATCAGTTTATTCTAATCTTCAATTCCAAGTTATGATTCATCATTATTTTGATAGGAAATTTATTACAACTGCTAATGCTGCTACATTCGCTTATCTTACTCCCTTACCAGTTCTGTCTAGGGAGCTTTCGCTAAGATTATGTAACAAATTCCTAAGGTATATAAACTACCCCCACTCATTTTGGAACATCTTTGCTCTTTTCATATAAATGTGTTTAGTTTGACTTTATTTGTGTACATACAGCCTCAGTTATGTTGTCCCTCATTCTACTTACTCAGCGTTTGAACGAATGTCAAAAGAATCTTACAAGTATTTCAAATAATGGTTAGTGAGATTGATCAGTTTCAGAGTAGGATTCATTATGAACCGAAATGAATAGGAGAATCACTGAGAATCTGGAAACAATGGATAGCTGAATGCCAACTCAGTGAACCAATGGTATCTTGAACACTACGAAAGCTGATGGTTTCTGTATCGACCCCTTATGGATTCTTGGTTTTGTTCTACTAAAGAGTCCCATACTAAGATGAAACAGCTGTTCACTGCTGTCACTTTCTCAGTGTTTCTCTAACTGATTCACTTCATCATGAATGCTACATTGAAAACTAACGTATATGTTTAAATAAGTAAACTGAATAAGCATTGAATTACTGTGTATAAAGCTGACGAAACTGCTATGAAATAGATTAACTTTATATTATTCTTCAAACACTGTTTCACTGCATTGTTGGCATTTATCAAGGAGATTGAATGACCTCCCAGATTCACCGTTTACGCTTAAAAATTGTTGGTTAGGTTATTAAGAATCGCTGTTTAGTATACTTATTTTCTTATATGTGGTTGGATATTTCACCAAAACCTGAAAATTAACAGAGTAATCAAGTTGATGACTAACTTTTTTTGTTTGATTTCATAGTGTCCCTCAAAATGAAATTGACTAATAAAACATATGAAAACTTAACTGCTTACTAAGCAATTAAATGACTGATTGGGTAACCAAGTTAACTCAATAGTACATTTTGAACAAAATTAGTGAATATATCTGTAACCAAGAAATATAGGATAACCTTTAAAATTTACTGTAATATTTGGAAAAAATAGGTGTCCCATCTTTACTGAACTTAAAGGTGCCCTATTACTACTGTCAGCGTAGTTACGAGCTTTTGGTATGAGTTGTATATGGAAGAGTAAGCTAACTACTCGGTGTGCCGCAAATACTAATATCAATGGCTTGACACGATAGACAACAGACCGCTACACCGGATACATTTAACTTTCTACCTTTATCCAGTTACTTAACATCTTACTTTAATTTATTTATTGCTGTCTGATCGTTTATATTCTCGGTCTGTTTTAATATTTTCCGAAATCTACTGCGTAAGCATAAAGCTATTCAATTCTTCCACGGTGTTTCCTACTTAAGTCTAAATTTCGATCCCACTGCTCTGAATCTACATAGATTCGGTTTAAAAATAATAGAAGACCATTTTCCGATTTCATTCTTTTATAACCTTCCGACTTTTGACTGTCTAACACTACTGCATGCGGTAGCAGTGATGGTGCCATGACCAAGGTTTGTTATGTATGAGACTTCATCACCGTGTTACTATACTTCAGACGTAGAGCACCCAGCTCTAAACCCACCACTTTGTAGTCACTTGGTTTTGGGTAAAATAAAAACTTAGTCGATTAGTCTCTTTTAATGCACATCAACCATAAATCTATATGTTCACTTTAGGTTTAACAATTGGCCATACGAACGCTAACTGGTCATCCAGTGCTAGACTTCAACCGGCACTCAATAGACAGAACGTGACATTTATTTTAGTTAACATAGGGTGATCATGCACGCCTAGTGAGCTCAGTAAAAACCCTCAATTTCACTACTGACTGGCGACAGTGCTAATCCTCTTCCAGCAGTTATACTTTCCTAATTGATATCAACCGGCAAGAAAACCTGAATCTATAACTTTCGATCGGTTAACTTTTGATATCTCACACCAGTTAGGTGTTTGCTAAATTTATTCTAAATATGATTTCTTTACGGACTGTAAGCCAATGAAATACATGTTTGTCGCCAAAACCTGATTCTAGTTTTCGCGTAAGAAGTTTAAATAAGTTGTATATGTGAAAGGGAGGGATTATGAAAATATGAACATTAGCTTAACCTTCAAGTATGGTACTAAAATGACAGTATAAAGTTCTGATCAATAAGAAATATATATAAACGTCAAATTGCAACACGTTCAGGTGTTTGTCATGCTATTATAAATGACACCAAAGGAAGATATGTTCCGCTAGAAAATTGAGCTGTATTTAAATAGTGAAACGTACCAGAAACAGACAGATATTACCCTGTGTAGGGTGACTAACGAAAGTTAAGAAGACACTCAATTGGTACAACACTTGCTCTGAAAGTTGTAAGTGAAACACATGAAAGAAAAGGATGTGAAATCAATGTGAAATAAAGTAGAAACAGACAGAAGACACTGCAATAAAAATGAGAAGTTAGATAGAGCGAGAACAGTATTTCTAGCAGAACAGCATGAATCTATTTTATTTCCGGGTTTTCATCGGCTGCTCACAGCCTAGGAGAATTTTTGAACATGAGTTTATACCGTTTTTGACTTTAAAGATGACAGTATTTCTAAGAGAGTTACGAAAACACGTTGCCCATCCAGCTGTTAGGTTTATCGTACTTTACCAAATGAACTCATTGAGATAATTAAAAGGTAAGTCTTCTTTTCCCGTTTCTCCCAAATGCATATACCAGTTCACGTGTACGTATCAAAGCATATAAATTAAATGAACAGAAAGAAAGGCTTAAGACTGCATGTTTGAGCATATTTCAAGAAATTCTCTACTGTGAGGTAGAAATAGAAGTGGACTTGGGAATGATATCCTGAAACTGTTAAAAATAACTAATAAGCAGGTGAATTTGAATAAATTGAGTTTCACTGAAGCGCTAGACGTTAAACGATTGAAACCAAAGTTATGTATTCGGAATGAACCAGTTATTATTCTGTGTCCACCATGGTAAAATCTTTTATATTGTTGATAATCATATTTTTTACGCATCATTATCGGTTTATACACCTTTATTTTTATTCCATTCCACACCTAACCGTTGGAATTCAACCCCTCTTACTTTCCTAGTTAGTGTAAGTTCTCTGGATGTTTTACATATATTTTATGTAACCTTTCTTAATACACTCAATAAATTTGTCTTCTAGCCCCCCTCCCTCCCTTTCTTACCCAAATCCCACTCCAGAACATCCGTCCAATGTTACTACATATTGATAAACTTACTGCTAGTTCTTGTATATACATTCACTCAATCCACGTGTCTTCAATCCAGTTCATTTCGATGCTACCTTTTCTTCAAGCTGACAGTTTTTTAACAAACTGATTTAAGTATGCAAATACTCATGTAAATTGATGTTAAGATTGTATTAGGTTATAAGCAGTTGATAAGAAATCCTGAAATAAAATGGAACCATACTATTCCGTTAAAACTGTTGTTGTCTCTCGATTTAAATTTGTCAAGGAAAAGAATTGTATGAAGGGGATGAAAATAGATTTGCTAATTGCCTTCTGTTGACACTAGACATAAAAATGTCAAGAATTCGGAATATATTACCAATCAGAATTAATACAAATATAATCAAAGAGTTAGGAAAATGTTCACTTATAAGGCAGAAACTAGGTGGTGCTAAATTGATAAGCGGAGTATAGATCTGCTTTATTTAGCGCATAATAACTCAGGGTCTAAAATATGTAGCTGATCTGAAATATCCCTAAAAATGTAACATTTATCTTCATATTACCACTCCTATGGTTTTTCCTTGTTTTCTACATCATTTTTGTAGGTATTAATCGATTAATGTTTACCGAACAACAAGAAATTATTGGAATGACCTCAGCTGAAGCGGAATCTGTACCATTTATTACTAAAATTTATCCAGCTAAAGCAAAGGTAAAAAGAGCATTGAAACTATCAAACACATTAACCTCAATATGCACTACTGTATAGTACTTATTAGTGACATGCTTCGAGATGGATATCCCGAAGTTCAAGTGAGAAGCTGTGACCTGTAAGACCAATCAGTTGGAAGTGAAGTGGATGCCAACTGAAGACCTTGGATGATAGTTGCGATACATTGTGAATGGAGAGAAGTAGGAAACTGTAAATCACTGAACTCCGACCCATTGGTTGGATGGTTAACGCGTTTGTCGTGAAATCTGAAGGCCCTGAGTGCAACAACTTGCTGGTGGAGCCGTGGGCAGGTATTGCTGAGGAGTCCCTCACTATGAAGAAACTCCTGTCCAATGCTCCTAGGTTCTCAATGGTTCTTTAATTGATGTCATGTGATATCCATATGAAAGTAAATGAACTAAACCAGCGAATAGAAATCTAAAACCAACGGCGCACCAAATGACCCTGAATTTCCAATCAGAACGCCTGAGTATTAAGAAACAGAATGTTGTCTATGATTTTCATTCATGTTTTACGTTCATAATCTTATAATCCTAATCTCAGCTTTAATTTTAAACAATCTCTAACCTAAACTCAACTCTCACCACGATCATGTTTACCTAAAAACTAAAAATAAACACTGGTCTGTTCAAACATTCTCCCACCTTTTTAATTTCTTTCCATTGTTCAGCAAAGTCATTTGGTAAGTCATTAGTTTTAGGTCTCTATTCTTCTGCTTCATCAAATAGATGCACATGAAAATGGTTGGAGTTCTGATCAAATAATTTTGATGTGATATGAACTTTCTGTTATCTGGTGGTTTGATTAATGCTGCTCTCATAACAGTTCTTATTGGCTAAATTTCGTCTACTTGAAGTTCATTCTTCTTCTTAGTCCACTACGCTGGAATCTAGCTCCATTATTTACATTATTTCACGAGTTTCAAAATTCACGTATTGCAATACTTATGCAATACAAAAGTATCAAATACCTCCTGGGTGTAACCTTTGATTATTTCTGTAAAGTTTACCGTCTTTTAAATATGAAATAAATAATGTCGGTGACTTTAAACCTGCTGATTGGTTTTCTTCCAGTATAGTATGTACAATTTCTCAGATTACTTAATCTAGATCTACTACCATTTTATTTGTTGCGTTGGGTTAAATTCGTTCAAGTCATTAGAGTGCAAATTTTCCCTTGTTCATTTTGAAAGTCCCAATCTCTGTCGTAAGATGATACTGCTATTCCTGGTAAATTATTGTATTGATTGGTCACTGGAGAGCAGTTAATTTCATGCCTTTTAGTCCTAAGTGGTGACCGAATTCGATCTATCACTTTGCAATGTGGTCATTGAGCTAGTGGATTTATCATCATGGTGGACTTCAACTGATTTTAGTTGGTTGGTAGTCTAATCTTATCTTTGAGCTCGGTGGTTAGGTCTCTGATTGCAGCACTGAATGATACGAGGTGAATCTCTGAAGGGACATAGGTTTCATTGAGGTTGCAGATACGAATACCAAAAAGTATTAAACCAAAGTACAGAACTTCTTACCAATAGCTTTCAACACTTAAATTATTACAATATTCAGTCCGTTAGTCATCCAACGTTTAGGATGTTAGATATCCCCACGATATTTCAGTGTAAAAAGATGCAACTTCTGAAGTGAATTTCTGTGTCAAATGATCGATTTCAAATTGTTTTAGGAATATTTACGACCATTCTTAGTTGGATACAAAATTTATTTACGTTCTGCGCAAGTTTAGGTTTATTTAGTTGAGTAGACAGACACTAAGAGATTAAAAACACCATACCTTAATTTTCAGGTTGACACGTTCCGCCACTATGTATCTTTTATTCATAATTCCATTTTTTTCACTTGCCGTAAAATGCTGTGCTCAGTAGAGTAAGAAGTAAGAAAGAAATCAAGGTTGACCATAAACATACTGAAAACCATTCCGCGTAGTTACTGATTGGTTTATGAGCTCTTTGGTAGTTTGCAGACTATATGGCCATACTTTTTGAGATGCTAGGAATCAATGGTTAAAAACTTGCAATGACATGGACCTAAATCTATAACAATTGTTCATAAGTACTAAAGCTACATATTGCTTAAAATTGTGAACATACTACTAACCCTTACATATTTTTCCCCTAGATGAGATTCTCTATTGCTACTGTTCCTGTTTATTTTGCATATGTTTACCTGAACCGACTTATCCTCAATGGACGTTCTAGTTTTCCCATCTGTACTAGTGTCTGGTGTTTTTAGACATGAAAAAGTACGGCTGGTTAAATCAGAATACTAATCACACTGACCAGTTTGCATTCAGACAGTGAATTATTCATAATCATAATGTGGCATGAAGCGACTAGCAACAAAACGATTTAATGTTACTGCACATGAATAATGCGCATTACAGCTTCCAAAGGATGGAAAATTTAACACAAAGCAGAGCTCACTAGCTGTATTAATTTTACTCCCGAAATATCTATCACCCACAGAAAGACGTTAGGAACAAAACATATGACATTTATGTGTTATGTAAAGGCGAATGATAAATACAGAAAATTGTATATTTATTTGGTTCACAAAAGTAACTGGTGTGAAGTTGAACACAACAGTCGACTAGTTGATATAATTCTGTTGTGTAGTTCAATGCTAAAAGTGAAACATTGAATCATGGCCATCGAAGAAAATTAAGTCTATGAATCCCCTAAGAATGTTCATCAATAAGATGCTTCTCTGTCCATACATTATTAGCAAAACAATTGTTGATTTTTGCTTGCTTCCACTTATTATGTATAATTAGCATATATACTGAATATACATTTATTTCCAGGGTATGGTTGAAAAATGGTTATTACAAGTAGAAGATATTATGTTAGGTAGCTTACGAAAAGTTATTGCAGACAGTGTATATGCGTATCCTCAAACTCCAAGAGAAAAGTGGGTACTGGATTGGCCAGGTCAAGTAAGTTTAACTTTTAATTTACTGACAGTGTTTGAAGTTGTTTTTTGCTAAAACCGGCAACATTGCTCTTTTTTATGAGATCCTGCGTCAACCTATCTCTTGACCTATTTACATGGCTGTTATTCTGGTAATTGGTTTGCACTTTTTTATCATAAGGTAATTCACTAACCTTTGAGACGTAATGATAATTCAATCGAAATAGGAATGTGTTAATGCCTTGAAGTATTAGCTTTTTAAAAGTATAATTGTAAATATAATATCTACTGGTAATAAAAAGTCATTATAATTCAATTCGACACTAACAGTTTTTTCTCACTCACATCAACTAGCAGCTGGTGTTCCATATTAGCAGAGTTTATTGCTCATAATCATATCAAATGAATGCGAGCAATAAATACTTCTCGAAATGTCATCCAGTAAATTATACTGTATGCACTATTTCAAATAAACAATCTGATACGGAATTATACTCTACCACAATGCCCAAGGTTTTCGCTTACATTAGCAGCTGATGTATTTTCTTCTAAATGGAACTTTAATTTGATGTTAGAGGTAAGTTGTAACTAACTAGTGAATTTATGAAAAGCCACCGAATCAGGCTAGTTATGTACTACCCATTCTGGTCCATCAAGATATTATACTAAAATTTCAAATCTCAGAAAAAATTCTCAGGACACTTCTGCATCTCACATCTTAACTATTCTTGAAATGTATCTATACGTACAATTTATTATTATTATTATTTTTCCCTTGGGTTCCTAGTGGAACATAGGGATTCAATAGCACGTCGCCATTTCACTCTCTTCAAGACAGTCTTTTTAACCTCGCTCCACAACCTTTCATTTCTTCCTCACACCATCTCCTCCGTGTCACCCTCAGCTGGGATGCCCAACTCGTCGTGTCCCCTTTGGATTACACCCAACGGCCCGGCCTGAGCGCGATGTCCCCAATCCGCCTTCTCAGTGTATGCCCGATCCAATCCGTCCCACCTCCACCTTCTTCTGCACACTCGTTGGGCTATAAGTTCTTGGTTGGTTCGTTCCCAGAGTTCGTTGTTGCTCATTCTTATTATTCTGGCCATCTGGTCGATGTTCAGTTTCGAGTGAGGGTAGGCAGCAGCTGCTGATGAATGTCTGCAGTTTGTTGGAAATGCTATTCGTGACGCGCCAAGTCTCTCAACCACCACATAGAAGCACTGACTTACTTGACTGACATTAGTGTTGAAAATTCGGATGTTGTTCACGCTTTATGCTGAGTGGAGTGAAGTAGATCTGCACACTGGTTTCATGTTAATGAAGGCCTGTCTTAGTGTCTTTCAGATCGTGGCTTTCACATCCTCATCTGTGCCACCACCACCGCCTGTAGTTGAAACGATGCTGCCTGGGAAGGTAGGTAAAAGAGACTACTTCCTTTAGATTTCTCCCGTTCATGGTGATTGGTGCTTAATGTTGATGCTGTTGTCCGTTGGGTATCTTCATCACCTCCGTCTTCTCTACATTCACCTGAAGTTCCGTCTTCGCTGTCTCGCGTCTTCTGTCAACTTGTAAGTTTTCGCCTGTAGATCTTTGAGTTTGTGTGACATTAGATATAAATCATCATCGTCGGGGGCAAAATCCAAATCTTCTAGGCTTTTTTCATCGGTCTAGCTTATGCCCATCTTTCCGCTCCCAACAGTTTGAGACATGAATCAGTCCACCACAATCAGGAAGATCATCGTTGATAGCAGGCAGACTTGTCTTGTCTTGCTCCTGTTTTCACTTCAAAGGCGTCACTGAGCTTCCCATTGTGGATCACTTGGCATGTGGCGTCGTCATATAGCTGTTGAATGAGGTTGATAAAGATTTGTGTCACTCAGTAGTGTTGAAGCAACTGACAAATTACTTCTCGGTCGATGCTATCGAAGCAAGGCCTTTTCAACATCGATGAAATTGAGGTAGACAGTTGACTGCAATTGTATACTCTGTTCTATGATGATGCGTAACCGAGCGTTGCAGTTTGATCCGCACATGGTTCGTTCATCTGGAAGCCAGCTAGCCAGCCAGCCAGCCAACCAGCCAGACTGTTCCAGTCGTAATTTTGAATGCAGAGCATGTTTAGTCTCTCCAGGTTGGTGCGGCTTAATGTCTTGCTTGGAGTGGATAGGAGAGGAGCATGATTCCGCGTCAGTTCTTGCAATGACTTAAGTCTCCCTTTCTTGGGAGTTTGACAAGGTAGCCTCCTCTTCCAACCAGTCATCAGGTACCTTTCCTTCCCTCCTTCCTTCCTTCCGTCCTTCCTTCCCTGCAAACCTTCTGCAATAGTGGTGTCAGCATATCCGTTGCTGATGTCTCTGCATCTGTTTTCAGTGCTTCTGGTGGAATTCCATCTGGTCCTGCTGCTTTCCCGGATTTCAACAGTTTTATGGCGTTCAGGACTTCACTTCTGCTTTTGTCGGATCGGACAGCCTTTGCTCACCAATAGTTGTGTGGCTGAGCTGCTGGTAGTATATCTGGACGAGTTGGAGGTGGTAGTGTTGGTAGTGGTCGATTCAAGAGTTTTAGAAGTGGTCAACCCATCGTTTTCTTTGTGTCTCCTCTCTGGTGGTAACTAGGTTTCCTTCACTATCTCTCATTGGCTTCGCCTGCGTTGATCTCTTTCCAGATGGTAATCTGGTTATTTGACATAGTGTTGTCAGGTCTCTGTGTCTATTACCTGCAGCCTGTTCCGCTTCACTTGCCAATGTGTCGTAGAAGTGTCTTTTGTCTTTGCGCGCACTCTTCTTCACCTCTTTGTCCAGTGTAGTGTTTTGCAGGCTGTACTCAGTTCCTCTTTTCGTTGTTCATCCCTGCACTGCACTGCACCGCACTGCACATCACTGGTTCATCTACAGCTTCACATTCTTCCTCTTCCTCTCCCTCTCCCTCTCCCTCTCCCTCCTCTATCAGCTTCCATGTATCCGTGGATATTCATTCCTTGTCTTGTTTCTTCTTCATTCCTAACACGGTTATGCAGGTCTCCTTCCACGTCTCTTTCAAAGACTTCCAGTGTTCTTCCACGCAAGTTTCCTCGGGGATTTCGCATAATGTTGTCCCCATTTCCTCCTGATAGCTGACTGACGTGAAGATGTCCTCTCTAGTTTCGTCCTTCACTTTCTGTTCTGGGTGTTCAACTTGAACTGTGGTCTATCAACAGATTCTTGGAAGGCTTTCAACTTGGTTTCGAATGTGGGTTCCTTGCATTAGATAGTGAGTGGTGTGAACCTACCTATATCTGCTCCCTTTCTCGATCTGATCTTGTGTCCAGTAGGCATGCTGTGTCTCCACTTTCTTCACATTGAGATGAAATCTATCTGATTTCCAGTGTAGTGTGTCTAGTGTCTGGTGATATCAAATCCATGTCGCTGCCTTGTGAATATCCTTGTGTTTGTACACACTGCCTCCAGTCAACAAGTCATTGAATTCGCAGAAATCTGTGAACAGTTCTCCATTCTCATTCTTAACTTCACTGAGTGCTTCTCAACCCATGATGAGTTCTCTTCCTGTGTTGTCTGCTCCCAGTTCGGCATTCATGTCGCCCATTAGAATTTTGATAACGCCAACCAGAGTCTTGTTCAGTGTTGATTGCAGTTGTCTGTAGAATTTCTCCTTCTTCTCTTCATCTGCATTATTTGTAGGTGTGTAGCATTGAATGATTTTTACTTTGCTTCCTTTCGAGTTGAATCCGTCTTGCTGTCATGATCCTGATCGTTGAGGAGATTGTTTGTCACTGCATGAGAGCTTTGGATGCTGTTGGTGACATCATGATCGGCACTCAAAAACTCAGTGTGCTCGTGTCTGTCATCAGGGTGACAATTTCTGAGTAGATTATTGACTTTCCAGTTAACAGTGAAGTAATGCACTATTTAACTAGGCTAGGCTACATATAATTTAAAATTCACTTAATCAGATTTTTATAATTTCACATCAAACAATTTCAACAAACTGAATTCAAAATTGATTATTTTGCACAATTGAAAATGAGTTCTATTTCGTTGCTGGTAGGAAGAAATTGTCAGCATTCTTACCTCATTATTTTGATGTATTTGCTTTCCTGTCCATATCCAGCTGAAGCTGGCACTTACCGACAATCGTTAGAATAGTATTAACTAACAGCTATCAATACGGTTCTGATACTATCGCCTTAACTTACCTAATCGAAATGAGCACACTGTATTCCACCGCAACGTAGAAGTAGGTGAATAGCGCAGAGCGTTGTCAACCAACCCTCAGGCCAGGCGTTTAACTCCACTCCTCCTACCTCAGTTTGTACGCAAACATATACTTGTTTCAATGACTTTCACTGATTATTTAATGAATGTCTAAATCGATGTAAACAGATTGGATGTAGCAATTTGTGTTGTCTACCTATTTCTCAAATTCTTCAATAGGTTGTCGTTTGTGTTTCATGTATTTTCTGGACAGAGGAAGTACAAGATTCTCTTGGTAAAAATAAACTAGATGAGTATCTCACAAAGTGCAATCGACAAATTGATGATATTGTACGTCTAGTCAGAGGACATTTAACAAGTGGAGAAAGAATAACACTAGGAGCACTAACAGTTGTTGATGTACATGGTAAGTGTATCAACAAATTCATTTGTTTTATCTATCTTAATAGATACTTCTAAACAAAAAGAAGCTTAATGATCAAAAGTAAACTCTAGGTGTTGAAGAGAACTCAGTACAACTGTAGTTGCACTGTAGACTGTCACTACTCTGTCTGTCTGTTCTTCAGGGACGGCGATCTAAGAAGAATTTTTTTATGAAATGAGGTCAATAGTGGGAATGAAGGGCCCGAAAGCATAACTACTATAGACAAACTAATTAGCATATTTCTCTTTTTTTGCCAGATAGACTCAGCCTTAAATACTGTTAGCTATTCTTTGTGATATATATTTTTATTCCCTATTGTATTTTATAGCACGTGATGTGGTCTCGTCCATGGTTAATAACAAAGTGAATTCAGTTCAAGCCTTTGAATGGTTAAGTCAGTTAAGATACTACTTTGCACCATTAGAAGCTACAAAAGTAACTGTATGCCAAATTACTACAGAATTGGATTATGGGTTAGTTTAATCATACGTACATTTTTGTTGTAAATAATCTATACCACCGAAGAACTTAAGTAGGATGTTACGCAGTCTGTTTGAATTAAGTAGTGTTTCACAGTGGTAAACATTGGAATTTAGAGTCCACCTTACATTGTAATTAAGGTTACTAAAATAATAATGAACTCTAAGGAATTTCTAGGAACTCTATGAATATCTGACGACTGAAAATCATTAAGGGTAGCACAGATATATAAAACCTTTACATTCGTCAAAAAGTCGAATCCATTGTTCTTTGTCTTTTCACGTCCCTATTCTTATTTATCAGCAAACTAAAGCGCACCACTAGATATTCAGAACAAAAAATTCAGGAAGGAATACTGTTTCAGTAACTCCTCTTCAGGGTTGCCAGTTACGATTCCACTAGTTTTATCATATGATAGCAAGTGCATAGCATAAAACGTTATACCTGAAATTCAGCAGTTAAACTTATTTCGAGGTTTATGAGGATTTCATTTTTAGGGTTGCACTCATCCTAGACTGACATCGGTTGAGGAACTATTGGATACCTGGTCACAACCTCCAACTTCTTTCAATTCACGATGTAGTGCATCGGAGGTGAGGACAATTACTCAACGATGGCACTGGATGGAGGCTTCGCTAAGTCTTTAACTGAAAAATATAGGAAAATGGAGACCATTAGATCCAACCCAGTGGCTCAACGGTAACATGCTGGGCTCATAACCTGGACGTCATGGAAACGCACTTGCCAAGAGTTCTATGCTGGGACGAAACCGCTCTCCAGTGCTCCAGAGTTTTCAGTGGTTCCCCAATTGGTGTCAACCGTGATGAATGCAACCTAAAAAAACTTGGATTTATGGCCAGGAAATGTCATATATATATATATATATATATATATATTATATATATATATATATATATATATATATATATATAGAGAGAGAGAGAGAGAGAGAGAGAGAGAGAGAGACGGCAGGTTATTCATGAACTGAAACCTGATTACTATGTGAAAAAAAGTACACAATCTTTTTTACTACATATGAACACTTGGCTTGAGAATAAATTCCTGTTAAAAGGGAGCTCTTCGCTGCTTTTAGTGCTAAAACGAGTTGAAAAATCATATTTGCAACCGCAAGTATAACTGCTAGATGAAATGAACTTATCTGGAATTACAATGGATCAATCACTAGATTAGTGTTGAATACGACTTAAGTACACACACAAAAGATAGCCGTGTTTTAAAACTATGAGATATGTAAAATTACCAAAAGTAGCGACGAAAAAGCATACAACAGGTGTTCATACAAGGAAGATGACAATAATAAAACCATATTATTTTGTAAACAGAACGATCAAATAGTCGAATGAGAGGCGGAAAGAATGATAAAGATTAGAAGTGCGATAATCTGTCTTTTTGAGGACTAAATGTTAATTGTGACAGATGCAGAAATTGGGTACACATATCCAACTTTCGTTAAATGATTCCCATGGCTTCCACTCTACATAAAAGACGTAGCTGTCTGTCTTTCTGCAGATTGTTTGGGACTCAGTGGTTGAATGGTAACATGCCCGCTGTCAGACTTGATGGACCTCAGCTCGGTCACTCGTCGCTTCCAGGTTCTAAACTAGAACGAAACAGTCGTCCAGAGTTCTCAGACTCTCAATGATTCTCCAGCTTATATCAGTCAGTGATGAATAGCCGCTTCCAAATCACTCAATCATCAAGAACCCTAGTTGAATTACCTGGTATGTGATCAAGGAGGCACTACCTACTTAAATCTGATACTTGCTGTTCACTAAATTGAACAGAATAACACTATCAATAATCAGATCAGTATTTCTCTTGTATATGTTTCTTTTTTACCTTTTTTGCAAATGCTGTTATGAAGTATGACAACAGTAACCGGTAGATTACTGAATAAATTCTGTATCCTTCTGTCTTTTTGAAAATTTAAGTGGAATTTTTGTTGCACCTTCATCTCCATCGATTCTTATTATGAGCCTAGAGTAAAACAGTATTCCTTGCAATTAGTTAGAGATAAGAACCATGGTAGAAAATCGTGCTCATTTTTTAAAAGTTAACACAATAGTCAAGAAATCCATTTCCGTTCCTGTCATGTTCCTGTGTGAGATGTCGTGGGGCTATTTCTTTCATGATGGTTAGCAAAAAATCCATAATCCACGCTTTTTGTTATTCCTGACCCATCAGTTGAATAAACCCGCACCATGATATTTTACACTTACCAACATAGAAAAATCATTTCACGATAACAGATATGAATCTCAAAATACTGATGCCATAAAGTGACATTTACGATCGATAATGATTTACACATATGCATTCTACTCTTCAAACAGGACGAAATAGCTGAGATGAAACAATCACCCTAGCTTTAACTGAGGAAGTCCAGCTGAAAGAACCGCATTATTCAAACCACTTCCCTCTTGAAACTATCGGAAATTCCTCCCAGATTTGTAGAGAATGAATCCAACTTTTCTGCGGCTAAGTTGTTGACAACAAACAATAAAATGGAGAAAATCCTTGACAAAATTGTTGTTGTCATCCTGAGCTAGAACTTTTTCCTGTTGAATATTATTTTCATTCCTTTTATGAAATTTCTTCCATTGCCTTATTTGTATGCCATTTGCTTTTGTTGAGAAAATGATGACATCTTATCAATGAAGAATTCATACATTTAATTTGATCTTTTGGGTAGTAAATCCCTAGATATACAAATTCTTTACGCTTCATCTGATGTGAACTAACTTTTTTGCTTAAAATATAAAAATAAAAGTAGATATGGTGCTTCAAGTAATACGACTTTTTTAAAGTATTCTGTTTTCTTTTTATTTCAGCTATGAGTATCTGGGTAACACTCCACGCTTGGTTATAACCCCACTAACGGATCGTTGCTATCGAACACTTATGGGTGCTTTAAAACTGAATTTAGGTGGTGCACCTGAAGGACCAGCAGGAACTGGAAAAACTGAAACTTGCAAAGTAAACTGGTTTGATTCTAATTCACTCTGATTGTTACAGATTAATGAACTTGAACCAAAATAACCTTTATCCGATGGTAAAACATCGATTGAGATCTACCTCATGACACTTTTTATTGAGTAGTATGACCTAGAACTTAGGTGTGTGCAAGACACCTCACTGTTACGCCAATGCAATCCTGTCTTGACACAATTTTGAATTTTGTCTGTTAGCCAGTTGTTCATTATAATGCTAGGTATATGAACAGTTAAGTCAAAAAAACTCAGGCAAACTACGACTAGTCAGTTTCAGAAAATTCAAATAGGAATTATGTATTTGACTTTAAAGATCAATAGTGCTTAGACAAACAAATTATTATGCAACCCTACACATAGATAAATCAGTTCGGGTTGTCATGCATTCCATCGAGAAAGGAAGAGGAGTGAGGGGAAATATAATAACATTCAAGTAAACAAATTCCAGTGCAATTAGGCGAGAAAGAGTGGATTCATAAAGATTGGTACAAATACCCAGAATTCTGAATGTGATAAAAATTGGACCATCTGCTTCACTGTTGTAGATTTGGAACCAAGCTGCTGTTAGTCCACGATCACGTGACTTGATTTGCAAGATGAACCTCTTGTATTCTTATTAAGATTTTAATGGCAACCAGAGTTTTGGACTTCACGCAAATTCCTTAGTGATTGAAGTGGTCAGTGGATTCCACAACTTCATCCCCTGTCTTTAAACTAAGAGTTGATGAAGACCAGTCTCGGAGTATCACAGTCACACTTATTTCATAGTTCGTCTTCTCTCAGTAGTCTGATGTTAATTTTGTCGATAGACATGGTAGGGTAAAAGTGATTTCATTTAACCATCATCTGATCAGATTGTCAGTAAAGTATCTTAGGATCAAATTGTTGTAAAAAGAGATGTATAAGATTTAGTGCCAATGTGAAATTATCTCCTTTTTTTATTTGTTTGGTGGTGGCTATCAATGGAATCCAGAATATGCGTTTCATCCTACTTGCTACTCTTCAGCTATATGTACCTGCATCTTACCAATTACAAGTATCAATAAATTCATCGGTAATGGATGCATTTGAACTTTTTCGATATTGCTGTAGCACACACTGACACCAAAAAGTTTGTTCGAGCAAAAAGTAAGCTTTTGACTAGTCTTAGCATGACAAGGAATTTATTTGCCTCATAGAGCCTTGTAGAAATAGAGTATTAACTGGCAAAAGGATTTTCGATGACTTTCTATGTGAATCTTAGTAAATTTGTCGTGATCTGTATACGATGTAATGAATTTACTCCCCAATCATTAATCAGTTTGGTTGAGGACAGTTCTTTTGCATCTTCAAATCTTTTGAAATAAGAGTATGATTTTAATTCATTCATTTTCACACTCAGGACTTGGCTAAAGCTATAGCTAAACAGTGTGTAGTATTCAACTGTTCTGATGGTCTTGATTATCGTGCAATGAGTAAATTTTTCAAAGGACTTGCACAAGCTGGTGCATGGCATGTTTTGACGAGTTTAATCGTATTGAATTGGAAGTGTTGTCCGTGGTGGCTCAGCAAATTCACTGTATACAAACGGCAATCAGCTCTGGACTTAAACGTTTTGTATTTGAAGGCACAGAATTAAGCTTAAACCCGACCTGCACAATGTTTATTACAATGAATCCTGGTTATGCTGGACGTCAAGAACTACCGGACAATTTGAAAGTTAGTTTGGAATTTTTCGCGTGTATATAGTAGACTTTGATTAAATCGAAGTCAGCCAGCGAAAGATCAAAATCATTATAGGTGTTACATCCAATAGTTTGTCAGTAAGTATATAGTACAAAAACCTTTAAAAAACTACTTACATTCCAACTGCCTACGCACTTAGCTATACAGTAATTTAGAGTGAGAAAATAATGGATCTTTAAAATTCCTTATTTGTTAGTAAATTATACCTAGAGTTAAATGTGTTGTCTAGGTCAGCTATGCCAACTAGTTACTCACACCTCAAAAGTTGGTGAAGAGTCAGAAGACGTAATCCATCGGTTAAAAATCAGACTGTCTAGTCCGCGGGAGCATAACTGTGAACACTGTTTCACATATATACAGATTTAATACTACAAAACGCTAAGCATACAGGTCCACATGAACGTGTAAACCGATCAAACCTTTGATGTAAATGAGAAAACACTGTATGTCATTGAAGCTTTTAAACACCAGAATTCCGTATTCAGAATATGCTTAAATCACAACATCGATTTTGTTCTGAAAACACCCAGTTCCTCAACCCTAACTTTATGAGCAGAGTTTAATATGTTAGTTGATTGAAGGTAATCGGCAGGATGCCCTGGATCTAAGTTTCGTTCTTGCTGGCACTCGCTAGCAAGGCGTATCTACAACCTCGACGAAACTGATGTTTTGTCCGTGACCAATCAATACATGTGACCCAGTCCTACAGAAGGTCAGTCGCGGCTCGAATGACTCAGTGGTAAAGTAGCTGGCTATAACGCTGGGTGACGTGGGTTCGAATCTCAGGCGGGGTATCAGTTCCGTCGAGGTTGCAGATACGCCTTGCTGACGAGTGCCAGCAAGCACGAAACCTAGGTCCAGGGCTTCCTGCCTATTGCCTCCAACCAACTAACATCTAATAATGTACACCGCGATGCTGAGTCTCCTAGCTTGGTGGTCACATTGCAAACATGATCGATAGGATTCGGTTCGCACTCCGGGCTAGACAACATGGAATTGATTGCACTCACTTGACCAATCAGTACACAGAGTTTAATATCTCCGAGTTGCTATTTAGACGTTAGTACAATCTGTTCATGTAATTCAGAATTTAAATGAACTCTGAGTAGTGTATGGAATTTTATGTCTATACATTCTAGGACTTGAGATGTGTGATGTAATCACCTAGTAGAGACTACCACAATGTCTTCATCCTTGATGATAACGACCTAATTTTCAGTTGAGAACTATATTTCGAAATAAAGATACACTACATTTGGTACCTATTGACTGGATTGAGTTAAAATGAAGACTCATATAGCATACTTGAAAAAGGTGAATAGCTGAGAAATAGCTTCAGTTTTTCGAAAATTCTTGCTTCGTGTAAGGTTCTGTCTCAATTCCTAGTGTGATAATTCAGAGTTATTACGAAAATAATTATTACATACACAAAATATATAACTACAGAAACCAAAAGGTTTCCTAAGGATGTCACCATCAATTTACAGCATATCACTGGTGTTAGTCAATGGGATAGAAAGGCGAAAATTCATTTATTCTAATGAATGATGTTTAGATAGTACAATATATGATCATCGGATGGTCATTTATGTAGCTCCCAACCTATAGCTGTTTCCCGAAATCTATTGCTGAAGCCAGTAAGATAGTGCAAGGAATTAAATGTAGTTTGAAAACATTGTGCACTGTATTCCAATCTGGTAGCTAAACGGCCTCCGATCAAGATGAAACATGAAGGTTATAGTTTTTGTCTTACCGGAAATTAAGACTTATCACTCTTAGAGTATTCCACACTACAGTGAAATAACCACTCACCGCAGTTACTGGTATTTATCAAATGATTGCTAATTTCACTTTTATTATCGTTTCCTAAACTTCTGGGGAGTGTAACAGTTCAAATGACACCCCTCTTAGTGGAGTCGTATATTGTTTTTCATCTATTGGTTGATCCATTTTTCTGCCCAAACTCTTTTCTGTTTTATTTCCAAAATCTTTAAGCTTTTCTGTGGGTTTTTTTATCTGTCTACTGGAAGTAAAAAGCTGTCATCAAAAGTATCAAATACTTAAACCTGTTCATTTGAATCGTAACTCTTGTACTTTTGATTTCAGGTTTTGTTTCGTTCAGTTGCTATGATGGTTCCAGATTATGCACTTATTGGGGAAATATCTTTATACTCCATGGGCTTCATTGATGCTAGATCGTGAGTTTAATGTTTATTGAACAGTATGTGCTTTGACTATTTTAATAGTTCAGATAGGTTAACAAAGTAAGTCACTTCTCTGTGATAACTGGTAAATCGTGGCATATAGAAGATAAAATTGTAAGGACTTACTGAAGCTAACTCTGCATGACAATTCAATTTCGCTTGTTGCGACACCTTTAGATTAATTTTACAACATTGTGATTATTTTAGGCGGAAAAGGATACTTTAACTTTTATATGTATTACTTTGCTGGTCACCATGCTTGATAAACTGATTTTTCACATAAAACAAAGTTTGAATTCTCACCAGAAAAATGTTTATAAGTACGACTATAAAACCCAGTGAATGAAATCACCAAAAACAGCCACTTCACTGAAACACTTCTTTTCGTTTTCTTATATTTCTTTATGTGGATGTTAGTGAAAATATGCTAAAATAGACATTTGAAGTTCGAATTGATATCTTGGTATTTAATTAGTTACCTATAGTAAGTTAAATACACTTGAAAACCGGTGTGAAATTACGGACATCACAAGCCTAACATACTGAAAAACCGTCCGGTTCTGGTTTACAAGTAAATTTCCCTAGTAATTAAAGCAACTGGAAACAAGATGAAAATGAGCTTATTTTCACTACCCTCAGAAATGTTAACTGTCAAATACAGGTCTTATAATCAGTCTGTTACTACTCAGATAGTAGGTCAGAATTTAATGGTCTACCTTCTTTAACTCAATTCAGTGTGAGATATAGTGTGACTGTCATTTATTATCATCGCTTGGTATCTATTCTAACTTACAGTCTAACTGAATGATAATTATTTCATGCTAAGTCTTTCCAATAGTATTTATTTTTGACTGTTTGTAGGGTCGAAACCAAGATTTTTATGCTGTTTGGCTAGTATGGTCAATTTGCATTGGATCATGAACTAAGACTTTCTGGGAAGCCTAACCTATGAAGTTGAATTCTGTTTTTCACTAATTAATGATTTGCTACTCAGTCCAGTAGTCTTGAGTTCGACTCTAAGGATTATTTCTGAACTCTATCGCACAGGAGTGAAGTAATAGCTGTTTTTCTATTGTAAAGCTGAAAAACATCTACACATATTGTCTTACTACACATGAACAATGATTGCCTCCATAGTCATATTAGGTGAATACCAGATGACACGAAAGCAAGTGAGATGAGTTTCATGTGTCTGCTTACTCTACATATTGTAATAAACAAATAAAGAAACCAAAGACGTTGTCATCACTAACCGACATCAGTTAGAAAAACATTGGAAACCTGGGAACACTGCTGAGAAGTTCCAAACTAATTTGAAACAACCGTCGAGTGCGACCATGTTTCCAATATTTTTCTTATTTGTGTAAATTCGTGAAGAAAACTACTTGGAAATTAATAAATCCCCATGGACCCCTGTTGGAATTGCATGTATAAAAATGTGACCAATATCAGTTAGTTTCTAACTATTCATTAGATAACAGTCAATTAAGAGTAATATTTAAGTCACAAGTTGTCACTCGGTCCTTACCAACGCGTATAAGATTATATTTGCGT